GGATCCAATTTCTCAGACTGGTATCAAAATCTTCATATTGTACAAAAGTCCGAAAAGAAATTGTATATCCTTGATAAGCTTTATTTGGCTGAGCCTGAACCTGATGCCACTCAGGAAACAAAGGATACTTACCAAAAGTTCCTTGATGATGTTGATAGTGTTTAATGCATTATGTTAGCATCAATGAAACCCGAGCTGCAAAAGTAGCATGAGAATATGGATGCAGGTGCCATAATTCTGCACCTCAAGGAGTTTTTTCAAGGAAATACTTGTCATGAGAAGTATGAGGTGTCGAGAGTACTGTTTAGGAGCCGAATGACTAAGGGAGCCCAAGTTGGTCCTCATGTGCTCAAGATGATTAGGTACATAGAGAGGCTTGAGACTTTAGGGTTTGGTGTGGATGCAGACTTACAAGTGGATTTAATTCTACACTCATTACCTCACTCTTATTCACCGTTCATATTGAACTTCAATATGAACATGGTGGTGAAGTCTTTATCAGAGCTTTCAAACATACTTAGGACTGCGAAGTAGGACAGGAAAAAGTTCAAGCCTATTTTATTGGTTGCTGCCAGTAAAGGAAAGGGTAAGGGCAAAGGAAAAGCCAAGGCCTATCCCAAGCCCAAACCCAAACCCAAACCCAAAGGACATGATGCTCTTAAGCCTGTGGGTGGCATTGGAAAAGGTGGAAAGATAGTCTGCTTCTATTGTGGCAAGCTTGGCCACTAGAGGAAGCATTGCAAGGCTTTCCTCGCAAGCAAGAAGAAGTCAGACGCTTCGACTTTAGGTATGTACATGATTGAGTTTAACTTCTCCCCTTCAACATCTTAGGTCATTGACACAGGATATGGTACTCACATTTGTACTGATGTGCAAGGATTAAGGTAGAGTAGATTGCTCGCCAAGAGAGAGGTGGACCTACAAGTTGGAAATGGAGCACACGTGGCTGCATTGGCTGTAGGATCTTATTGTTTGTCATTGCCTAACGGCTTATTGTTAGAACCTAATAATTGTTATTTTGTACCTTCCATTTCAAGAAACATTATATATGTATCTGCTTTGGATGATATTAGATATCATTTTGAAATTTCTAATAGATTGTTGTCCTTTAGTTTGAATAGTATTCTATATGGAAATGCAAGGTTATATAACAGATTATTTGTTCTAGATTTAAACAATAAGGATATTCTCAATGTGGAAAAAAAGAAAGCTACACATAGCGGTCAAACCCAAACATACCTCTGGCATTGTAGATTAGGCCATGTTAATCATACCTGTATTGCATAACTTCAAAGAGATGGAGTTTTGGACCCTTTTGACTTTCAGTCATTTGAGGTATACGAGTCATGTCTTTTAGGTAAGATGACCAAATCGCCTTTCATAAGACAAAATGAAAGGGCTACATGAATTGTTAAGCATCATCTATAGTGATGTATATGGTCCACTAACAATTGAAGCCAGAAGTGGATATTTGTATTTCATCACATTTATTGATGACCTCAGTAGATATGGTTACATCTACCTTATGAGACATAAATCTGAAGCCTTTGATAAATTCAATTCAGAAGTGAAGTACATAATATGTTGGGTAAGAGTATTAAAGCTGTTCATTCAGAACGAAGAGGTGAATACTTGAGCTCTAGGTTTTCTGAATACCTGAAAGAGTGTGGGATAGTTTCACAACTCACCCCTCGTTATACACCCCAACACAATGGTGTGTCTGAAAGGAGGAATAAGACCTTACTTGATATGGTTAGGTCCATGATGAGTTTTAGTTATCTACCTGCATCATTCTAGGGTTATGCCCTAGAGACTACGACTCACTTACTTAACCATGTGCCATCAAAGTTATGGATAAGATTCCATATGAACTGTGGAGTAGGCGAAAACCCAATTTGTCTTATCTGAAGATTTGGGGTTGCAAAGCTTATGTCAAAAAATTGACTTCGAACAAGCTGGGCCTAAAATCTATTAAATATATTTTTATGGGGTATCCTAAGGAGACCAAACGATATTATTTCTACCACCTAGAAGAGCGCAAAGTTTTTGTCGCTCGTACTGGTGTCTTCTTAGAGAAGGAATTTTTCCTAAGAGGTACTAGTGGGAGAAAAGTAGAACTAGATGAAGTTGTAGAACTACAAGATACATTAGACCAAGGACATAAAGTTGTGCCACAAGAAGTGGTTGAACATCGTGAGGAGGTTACTCCATAATCTGTGAATCAAAGTGAACCACCTCAAGTAGCACAGAAGCTACGTAAGTTTGGGAGAGTACGCCATAAGCCAGAGAGATATGGTTTTCTTATGACTCAGTATGGCGGTGTATTGGTATACCAAGACAATGAACCTAGAACCTACGAAGACATTATATCATATCTAGATTCTGTTAAATGGCTTGAAGCCATGAAATCTAAGATGGACTCCATGTACCAAACCAGGTATGGTCTCTAGTGGATCCACCTGAAGGGGTAAAACCCATAGGGTGTAAATGGGTCTTCAAGAAGAAGACTAACATGGATAGCAATGTGCATACCTATAAGACACAATTGGTTGCCGAAGGTTTCAAACAAATTCATGGTATTGACTGTGAAGAAACCTTTTCGCTGGTTGCCATGATTAAGTCTATCCAGATTATGCTCACAATTGCTACATATCACAACTATGAAATTTGGCAGATGGATGTCAAAACAGCTTTCCTATATGGAAACCTTGAGGAAGATGTGTATATGACACAACCCGATGGTTTCGTTCTTGATGGATAAGCTAATAAGATATGCAAGTTACAGAGGTTCATTTATGGACTCAAGCAAGTTTCAAGGAGTTCGAACATTCGTTTTGATGAAACCGTAAAATAATTTGGTTTCATCAAGAACGTAGATGAGCCTTGTGTTTACAAGAAAGTAAGTGGGAGCGCAGAGGCATTCTTGGTGTTGTATGTCAATGACATACTTCTCATCAGGAATGATATACCGAACTTGCAGTAGGTAAAGACTTGGTTATCCAAGTGCTTCTCCATGAAGGACTTAGAAGAAGTAGCCTACATCCTTAGAATAAGGATCTACTGTGATAAATTGCATAGGTTGCTAGGCCTAAGTCAGAGTACATATATAGAAAATGTACTGAAGAGATTCAGTATGGAAGAATCCAAGAAGGGATTTCTTCCGATGTCACAGGTGCCCATCTCTCCAAGGATATGTGTCCTAAAACACATGATGAGAGAAAGAGAATGAAGAGGATCCCATATGGGTCAACAATTGGATCCATCATATATGTCATGTTGTATACTCGGATTGATGTTGATAAGAGTGTAATTTATATATTTTTATTCCTTCCATATTATGTTTTTTGTTATGTTTTATGCCTATTTGAGTTGATTAGAGTTTATTTTGTGAGTTTGGCATAGTTGGATAGACTTTAGGAAATAAGTGATAAAAGATTAGGAAATTCCAGAATTTTTGTTGACCAGTGCTGCGTTTTTTAGGTTTTTCAGGGAGCTAGATTCCTCGATTGCAAAAGTGTTCTTCAAAGAAATTAATGTAGATGAATCAATCTTTTCAGGAAGATATTATGGGTGAGAATCCGAGTTCATTTGGGTTCTCAGTAGTTGTTGCAAAACCGGACCTGGAATCCTAGTCGCGGAAGGATTCCTTAGCTGAGTATTGAATCTTCGAACAGGCCTAACTAGAGCGTCAGATATCGAAAATGGGTGATTCAAAAGCCCAGATTCATGTACACATCTGGGACTACAATTTTTATGAAGTGACCAAGCCTAGAAACGACCTTTCAAATAGCGAGAATCCTGGTGCAAGCTGGAGACGAATTCTGCTTTCCATATCTGATAAGATTTTGACAAATATGGAAGTCTATCTTTTAGGAAGGATCCAGGAAAGATTTTCCGTGATTCCTGGGAAGAATTGAGGAAAACACATGTTATTTAATTAGAGGTTGTTAGGTTTATTTAATTAGAGGTTGTTAGGTTAAACGAAAAAAAAAAAAAAAAAAAAAAACCCGTAAAAAACTAGGGAGAAAGTAAGAAATTAAAAGAACTCTCAATTTTTTTGTGTTAAAAATGGGAGAAAAACACTTTTTTATACTACATAAGATAGGGAAAACATTGAATTCCACAATTATTTTACACCTTTTCACTTTCAACCTTAAAACTTTTTCTATTAATTCACTAACTTTCATCTTTCAAATTCTTAACTTACACCACCACATTTAATTTCATTAAATTTATTTTATATATTCCAACAATGATATCATATTTACTATATTCCTTTGTAAACTGTACCTTGACATCCTTCCCCAACAATTCGATTTGCACTAAATCAGTGGCCTTATCTAAATCCTCCATTTAGGCCCCTTCACACCCTCTTTCATGAAACGTTGTTTTTTTTTTTTTTTTTTTTNTTGATTACAAACCCCCTTTCATTACTGTTGTTAGGTTTTCTGTTTAGAGTTTAATTTGCGTTTCTGTTGTTTTTATTGTTTTAGAATATAGAAATTAATCGAGTCATTCCCTGTGGGATCGACCCTTGCTTGCCCTTTATACAATTCAATAGTTAGGTCAGTAAGGTTAATTAATTTGGTGCATTCGGCACGCTACCAAATTTTGGCGCCGTTGCCAGGGAGTGGTATTCATCGATTTTTTTTTATATATTCTATGTTTTTTTTTTTTTTTTTTGTGATTTTTTTTAATCAGTGCTTAGTTGTGGTTTTTTTATTTTGTTTAGTTGTGATTTTTAGGTTTTTGAAGAAAAAAAAATAAAATTTAACAGTAGTACTATTCCTAAGAGAAATTTTGGTTGAATTAGGAGTGCTGCGAGTACCCGTTTTGAAGAAAACGACATTCTGAGCAAGACTAGAATTTCTAGCCCCACCCTCTCGTTCTCAAATTCGATCATTTAATAGGGTTTTTGGCCAATTTTTGCTGCTGTCAAGAAAAAATTTTATTTTTTTTTAATTATTTATTTAGGCTTAATTTGGTGATTTTAGTGGTTTATGACTCGATCCAATTCTACAGGAGAGTTGGAATTTGATCCAGAAATCGAACGCAGTTTATGGAAGTTGCGAAAAGAGTCACATCAAGCAAGTTCTTCATCTCCTGGTCTCAATATAGCCCTTGGTTCAACATCCCACAGTTCATCCAATGATCCAAATTTAGAGATAGAAGAAGAGATGGCCGCTGGCAAAACATTAAAGGAGTTGGCTGCCCTTGATTTTAATCAGCAGCCTTTGTGTATTCAGTACCCTACTTTAGATGTTGCTTTTGAATTGAAGTCTGGTCTAATTCACTTGTTGCCTACATTTCGTGGTCGTGCAGGTGAAGATCCAAAAAAACATCTAAAGGAGTTTCACGTTGTCTGTTCAAGCATGAAAAAGAAAAGAGTGACAAAAGAGCAGATTAAGTTGCGAGCTTTTCCTTTTTCGTTGGGGGATGATGCAAAGGATTGGCTCTATTATTTACCATCAGGGACAGTCACAACATGGAACGAGATGAAAAAGATGTTTTTAGAAAGATATTTCCCAGCATCTAGAGCTGCCACCATCAGGAAAGAGATATGTGGGATAAGGCAATATAATGGAGAGACGTTGTATGAATATTAAGAGCGATTCAAGAAGCTATGTGCAAGCTGTCCTCACCACCAGATAAGTGATCAATTGCTAATTCAGTATCTCTATGAAAGATTGCTGCCTATGGAAAGAAATATCATAGATGCAGCAAGTGGAGGTGCGTTGGTGGATAAGACTCCTGAAGCTGCCAAACAATTAATCTCAAACATGGCTGCCAATTCCCAACAATTTGGTACAAGACATGATACACCACCCAAAAAGGTGAATGAGGTAAGTACATCTTCCATTGAACAACAATTATCTGATCTTACCTCTCTTGTTAGACAATTGGCGATAGGGAATGCGTAACAGGTAAAAGCTTGTGGGATATGTTCGACAATGGGACACCAAACGGACATGTGCCCAACACTTCAAGAGGAAGGGACTGAACAAGTCAACGCAGCAAGAAACTTTCCTGGACCACCGAGGCAACATGATCCTTACTCCAACACGTACAATCCAGGTTGGAAAGATCATCCGAATTTCAGTTATGGAGGAAATAGACAAGTAGGAGGTGGACATAATTTCTTCCAGAATAGACAACAACAAAGTTTTCAACCGAAGCAACCTGCCTCACAAAGTTCAAACTCATCCCTGGAAGATATAGTTAAGTCTCTTGCTTTGAATACCAAACAATTTGAACAAGATACAAGATCTAGTATTCAAAGTCTGGAGAATCAGATGGGTCAAATGGCAACTGTTATAAGTCGTTTAGAAGCTCAAGTTGGAGGGAAGTTGCCTTCTCAAACACTGGTGGATCCAAAGGAGAATGTGAATGTAGTGACACTAAGAAGTGGCAAGAAAGTGGAAGAACCAAAACTGGACAGTCCAAGTGTAGCAAAGGAAGTAGAGATTGAAGATGAAATTGAGAAAGAAGAGGCTACAACTGAATTAAAGGTAATTCCTAACCCTTCAATTCAACTTCAATCTAATACTTTACCTTTTCCTGGCAGATTCGCGAAGTCAAAGAAAGAAGAGAAGGATAAAGAAATTTTGGAGATGTTTCGCAAGGTGGAAGTGAATATACCTCTGTTGGATGCAATTAAGCAAGTGCCAAGGTATGCGAAATTTCTTAAGGAGCTATGCACCAATAAGCGGAAGTTGAATAGTGATGAGAAGATAATAATGGGAGAAAATGTGTCAGCAGTTTTCCAAAGAAAACTTCCTCCCAAATGCAAGGATCAAAGTATGTTTAAAATTCAGTATAAGATAGGTAACACCAGGATTGAGAGAGCTATGTTAGATTTAGGAGCTTCGATTAATGTTATGCCACGATTTATTTATGCTTCATTAAATCTAGGTCCTGTGAAAGATACTAGTGTTGTTATCCAATTGGCTAATCGCACTAATGCATACCCTGAAGGGGTAGTTGAGGATATTCTTGTGCAGATCAATGAGCTAGTGTTTTTGGCTGATTTCTACATTCTGGATATGGATGATTCCTCTTCTCCTGACCCTGCACCTGCACCTGCACCTATCTTACTAGGAAGACCATTCCTAAATACAGCTCGGACAAAAATAGATGTTCATGATGGTACCCTCACGATGGAATTTGATGGTGAAGTAATTCGTTTTAATATGTTTGATGCCATGAAATATCCAAATGATGTTCAATCTATTTTTGCTATTGATGTTGTTGATCCTATTGATTCCATGGTGCAAGATATCTTTGAGTTGAATAATGCAGATGAGTTAGAGGTTGCCCTTCTCAAACATGTGGAATCAGAGTAGAAAGGAGAGATGAAGCTCAGTGAAGAATTGAAGGAGACAGTGGCAGCTTTACATTCTTTAAAATCGATTCCAGAAAGGTATGGAGTTTCATTTATAAAGCTGCCTGATTCTCACCAAAAATTGTTGCCTTCTGTTTTGCAGGCCCCTATACTAGAGTTGAAGCCATTACCGAGCCATTTGAAGTATGTGTACTTGGGAGAGAATGAGACACTGCCGGTAATTGTGTCGAAGAAGTTAACACCCAATCAAGAAGAGAAACTGGTTCGAATGTTGCGCGAGCATAAGGAAGCGATTGGCTGGACCATAGCTGACATTAAGGGGATTAGTCCTTCCATATGCATGCATCGGATTCTGCTAGAAGAAGGAGCCAAACCGACACGAGAAGCGCAACGCAGATTAAATACCCTAATGATGGATGTGGTGAAAAAAGAAGTCCTAAAGCTTTTAGATGCCGGGGTAATTTATCCAATTTCCGACAGTAAGTGGATAAGTCCAGTGCAAGTTGTCCCCAAGAAATCTGGTGTTACAGTGGTGAAAAATCAAGACAATGAGTTGGTCCCTACACGTATTCAGACAGGCTGGCACGTGTGCATTGATTACAGGAAGTTGAACTCAACAACTCGAAAAGATCACTTTCCACTTCCCTTTATTGATCAAATGCTTGAGAGGTTAGCTGGTCATATTTATTATTGTTTTCTTGATGGATTTTCAGTGTATAACTAGATTGTCATAGCGTCGGAAGATCAAGAGAAGACGACATTCACATGTCCATTTGGTACTTTCGCCTACCGTCGAATGCCGTTTGGTCTCTACAATCCTCCAGCCACTTTTCAACGATGTATGGTAAGTATCTTTTCAAAATATGTTGAGTCAATCACAGAGGTTTTTATGGATGATTTTAGTGTCTATGGTGATTCATTTGATAAGTGCTTGCATAACCTTACACTGATTTTAGACAGATGCATGGAAACTAACCTTGTACTTAACTGGGAAAAATGTCATTTTATGGTAGAGCAAGGTATAGTTTTAGGGCATATTGTTTCATCTAAGGGAATACAGGTTGATAAGTCTAAGATAGATTTGGTTACAGCTTTGCCTTACCCCGCCACTATGCAGGAAGTTCGATCTTTTTCTTGGCCATGCAGGTTTCTATCAGAGATTTATCAAGGACTTTTCCAAAAATGCATTGCCCCTATGCAGATTGTTACAAAAAGATGTGGATTTTCAGTTTGATGAGCAGTGCAAGGAGGCATTTAACAAGTTGAAAACATTGTTGACGACAGCACCAGTGATACAACCACCTAATTGGGAGCTACCTTTCGAAATTATGTGTGATGCGAGCAATTTCGCATTAGGTGCTGTTTTGGGTCAACGAGTTGGTAGAGCGTGTCACGCCATTTATTATGCATCCAGGACCTTGAATGGTGCCTAGCTAAATTATTCTACAACTGAAAAAGAACTTTTATCTGTTGTTTTTGCTTTAGAGAAATTTCAGTCATATTTGTTGGGTGCTAAAGTCATTGTTTTTTCTGATCATGCAGCTCTTAGATACTTGCTCACAAAGAATGAGGCAAAACGAAGGCTAATTAGGTGGATTCTTCTCCTCCAGGATTTTGATTTGGAGATTAAAGATAAAAATGGAGCAAAGAATGTTGTAGCAGATCACCTTAGCCGTTTGGTTCGTGGCAGAGATGAACTTCCTTTGCGAGAAAAATTTACGGATGAGCAATTGTTTTCCATTGAAATGGCGTCACCATGGTATGCAGATATTGTCAATTTTTTAGTTACTAACGTGTTGCCAAATGATTTGACTAGAGCTCAAAAGGACAAGATCAAGAGTGATGCTAAGTATTATGCCTGGGACGATCCATATTTGTGGAAGCATTGCGCTAACCAAGTGATAAGAAGGTGCGTACCTGAACATGAATTTACTCCTATTCTAACCTTCTGTCATACCTATGCATGTGGAGGACATTTTGGACCACAGAGGACAGCTCGTAAGGTATTGGAATGCGGCTTTTATTGGCCATCGTTGTTCAAAGACGCCTACATGTTCTGTAAGTCATGTGATAATTGCCAAAGAATAGGAAACATTTCTCGTAGAGATCAAATGCCACAATCTCCCATATTTATTGTTGAAATTTTTGATGTTTGGGGCATTTATTTTATGGGTCCATTTCGTGTTTCCTTTGGTAATGTTTATATTCTGTTAGCTATTGATTATGTTTCCAAATGGGTGGAGGTGAAAGCCACCAAAACTGACAATTCAAAGGTTGTTGCAGATTTTGTTAAAACTAACATTTTTGTCAGGTTTGGGATACCAAGGGCCATAATCAGTGATAAGGGCACTCATTTTGGCAACATGACAATAGAGGCATTGCTTAAGAAATACCATGTCACACACAAGGTCTCCACATCGTACCACCCACAAACTAATGGCCAAGCGAAGGTGTCAAATAGAGAGATCAAGTCAATTTTGGAAAAGACAGTGAACCCAAACAGGAAGGATTGGTCTTTGAGATTAGACGATGCATTATGGGCATACATAACAGCATATAAGACACCCATTGGCATGTCCCCATACAAATTAGTGTTCGGTAAGTCGTGTCATCTTCCAGTGGAATTAGAGCACAAGGCTTATTGGGCAATCAAGCATTGCAATATGGAGATGAAAGAAGCTGGCGTTAATAGGAAGTTGCAATTGCAAGAACTTGAGGAGTTGAGGAATGATGCCTACGAGAGTTCACACATATACAAAGCAAAGACTAAAGCCTTTCATGACAAGATGATCTCAAGGAAACATTTTTTAGTTGGACAAAAAGTCCTTCTTTTTCATTCAAGGCTGAAGTTATTTCCGGGTAAGTTACGTTCTCGTTGGGTGGGACCTTTTATTGTGACTAATGTTTTTCCTCATGGTGCAGTAGAAATATAGAGTTTGAAAACAAACAAGGTGTTTAAGGTCAATGGAAATAGGCTTAAGCCTTACTATGAAGGGTTCCAAGTTTACACTATTGAGGAGGTGGGATTGGAGGAGTCGATACATGAGTAGTGATGACAATGCAGAGAGTCAAGCCAACGACGTTAACCAAAGGCGCTGCTTGGGAGGCAACCCAAGAATCCAGATTTGATTTTCTTTTCCCTTGACTTTAGTTTTTTTATGTTTTGCCATAATTTTTTTGTTTTATTTGTTTTATTTGCTTGTCTCTACATTTGGGGTATTACATTAGGGGACAATGTAAGTTTTAAGTGTGGGGGAGAAGTTAGGCGTGGATGGGTGTTATATTCTATTTTTATTTTCTATTTGTTATATTCTGTTTTTATTTTCTAGTTTTTTTATATTCTGTTTTTATATTCTGTTTGTTTTTTATATTCTGTTTTTTTTTTTTTTCTGTTTTTTTAGGTGTGTGTTTTATTCTGTTTTTTTTTTAGGAGTATGTTTCTGTTTAAAAAAAACAAAAAAAGTTTTTGTTTTTAGGGAGGTTTATGCTTTAAGTCATGTCTTTGAACGTCTAGTGATGCATGAAATAGTAACTTGACTTTGTTGTTGAGCATATTCCTTGACTTAGGACGTTAGCAATATTTCATAAAATAGAGTTAATCATATTTGAATCTTTGTAGTCTTGAAACAATATGTCTTGATAAGTTGTGTGAACTTGGTGACGAAGCATGACTGAGGAGTGTATAACAACCCTTAAAAGAAAGAAAAAAAAAATTGTTTCTCTTAAGCTAGTCCTAAATTTGGGTTTAAGCAAATAGGAAAAAGAAAAGAAAGGTATGTGGTGAGTCGAGATGGAGCGTAAAACGCACTCACTCATAAACACAACCATGAAATGAGATGGAGCATAAAATGCAACTCATTTTTATTGTTTAAAAAAAAAAAAATTCCTAGTTTGCTACCCAGTTTGTAGTAATAAGAGAAACAGTTGAGGAAAAGTTGAGGGGTGAGTTGTCATGAATTGGTTGTGATTAGTTTCCTTGTTTGCATTGACTGATTGAGAGTAATTGGGAAAATGATGAAGAGTACGAATGTCATTAACTCTACTTTATCTTTGTTGTTCCTAAGTTAGGTTGAATATGCATGGATTAATAGTGTTGCTTATGCATCATGATGGTGTTCTGGATATGACTTGAGTGTAGCTTTTCTTTAGTGTTTGAATTAGTTTGCCCGAGGACGGCCAAAAGCTAAGTGTGGGGGAATTTGATAAGAGTGTAATTTATATATTTTTATTCCTTCCATATTATGTTTTTTGTTATGTTTTATGCCTATTGAGTTGATTAGAGTTTATTTGTGAGTTTGGCATAGTTGGATAGACTTAGGAAATAAGTGATAAAAGATTAGGAAATTCAGAATTTTTGTTGACCAGTGCTGCGTTTTTAGGTTTTTCAGGGAGCTAGATTCCTCGATTGCAAAAGTGTTTTCAGAGAAATTAAATTAGACGAATCAAGATTTTCAGGAAGATATTATGGGTGAGAATCCGAGTTCGTTGGGTTCTCAGTGTTGTTGCAAAACCGACCTGGAATCCTAGTCGCAGAAGGATTCCTTAGCTGAGTATTGAATTTTCGAACAGGCCTAATTGGAGCGTCAGATATCGAAAACAGGTGATTCAAAAGCTAGATTCATCTACACATCTGGGACTACAATTTTTATGAAGTGACCAAGCCCAGAAAAGACCTTTTACAAGCGAGAATCCTGGTGCAAGCGGAGACGAATTCTGCTTTCCATGTCTAATAAGATTTTGACAATATGGAAGTCTATCTTTTAGGAAGGATCCAGGAAAGATTTTCCGTGATTCCTGGAAGAATTGAGGAAAACACATGTTATTTAATTGAGGTTGTTAGGTCAAACGAAAAAAAAAAAAAAAAAAAAAAAGAGTAGAGTTTTATTTTCAGAGTTTTTACTTTCTAGGTGAAGATGTGCGGCTGATCTTTCTTTTTCAGTTCAAGGGGATTTTGAAGCCTAAATTCATGTCATTGGTGTAACCTAACTTCAGTAACATTGT